AAAAAAAAAGACTAAAAAATAAAAAATTCAGTCCGTCACTCCGTGCAGCCTCCCATCGCCTCTCTGGTTGCTTTTGGGCTGCTTGGGCCATGCTTAGTTCCACTAAAACTTTCAACTTTGGCACTATGCAAAAAGAAGATTTCCCGTCACATCAAACTTATGGTACATGCATGGAGTACTAAATGTTGACGAAATAAAAAACTAATTGCACAGTTTGATTATACTTTGCGAGACGAACGTTTTAAGCTTAGTCAACGATTAAACAATTATTATCAAATAAAAACAAAATGCTACAGTGTAGCTACCGTGCTGGAAATTCCGGCGGCGCCGATTCAGGAGGCAAACTAAACGCGGCCTTGGAAACTTTGCCTAGCTTGCCTCACCTGATGCAAGCCATGAGGCCCTTGCCAGCCCGAGCGAGCCCACGACCTGCACGCATCAAGGCCCCCGTCGCTCATTTAGAAGCAAACAGGTCAACATCTAATTCATTTAGAAGCGCTAATACTCACCAACTACGGTAGATGAACAACGGCAGATCAACGACGGCGAGCACCTCTGCCACGGGCTCCGGAGGGGAATCGACTCAGCCTCCACAATAACATCGACAAAGAACAAAAAACCCGATAAATGCAGACAAAATCAGGTCGGGAACGAAGAGATCTACAACATCGAATCAAAAACCTGTAAATAAAACTCACAAACGATGGCGAATCGCCGGCGGAGAGCCCCTCCGCCTAGGGCTCCGCCTCAGCTCTGCCACCAGAACTAGGGGAGACGAAATGAAATGGAGAAAGGAAATGAACAGTTCAAAAGGGATAAAGGCGTGGGTTTCAAAAAAAAAAGTGCTGGCTTGTGGGCCACACGGGTCAGAGAGCAAAACGCAAAGGGAAAATGGAAAGGTGACGGGACAGATGAAGAAGGACGCAGATAGCTCCATGGCTAGATCCGACGGCTAAAAAAACATGTGACGCAAAGCACAGAATCACACGGGCAAAGGATAGCTTTATAGAATATATATGCGCCGAGTTTGTGGAAACCCAAACTTCCGACACGCTTGGATCTCTCGTTGGCCGCTCGCCTGGCCTGGCTCGGCAAGAAATCGGCGTACGGCACCGATCAGCGCGGCGCGGCCGCGTGGCCGCGTGGGCACCGGCCACGTCCATCACGTGGGCAGGGCACGTGGGGAGCCCGCCGCGAGTGCCGCGTACGATGTTGGCGTGGAAAGGAGACTGAGACGGCGACGGCGAAGATGGGACACCCTGTGCTCGGCTCACACCGACGCGCCTCTACTGTTCTTACTGTACTGTAATGTTGTGCCCAGCCGGTGTGGACCACACCACACACCGTACGTACGAGACCCATCCATACACGTTACCACGTGCGCCCGCGTCGCCGTCCACGCACTCATACGCCGCCGGGTACCAGGCCGGGGAAATGAAAAAGGGAATAATCATCGCACGCGGCCGCGGATCGACGTGACCGATCGAGAGGATGGGCGCCGCGGCTTCTGCTCTCGGCATGGGCTCCCGGCCGTACTCATCCCCCCACCCCCCCAAGGCATCTTTGACAGATCGAATGAATGGAACTCCCGACCCCGACGCAGCAGCAGCGTACGAGTACTATACATACAGAATACAGCACGCGCGCGGGTTCCCCTCGGCCAGCATATGCGTGCATACCCGCTCGCGCGGTGTCCCCTTGTGGAACGCTCGAACCCATCGGCTTTTGCAACGCATTTCATCGTCGGCCCATCGGCTCTCGCCGCCGGTTTCTTCTGATCCTATACCGCTATAGCACTACCAGTCATTACGTTATAGTCATCAGCAGTCAGCAGACGTCCCAGATGTGTATATCCGCTGTACGTTTTGGCAGATCGAGTAGTCGTCACTGGTCAGATTGCAAGGTTACGTTGAGGAGGTGTGTGCCAGCAGCAGTCCGTCTCACACGACCGGCTCTCCGGAAGCTAGCGATGATCCAGATCGAGGATCCGGCCTACCTCTTGGTCCGGTCGGTTTTAGAACTTTGGGTATAAAAAAATGTCACGCCATCGTCTCGCGCGCCATGTCAGCATTGCATCATGCGCCATCTCAGCCGCACAGTACGTGCACACCCTGAGTGTGTTCGGCGGGTGCCTTGCACAGTAAATTTCGGATGATTGAATAGTATTATGTGAGAGAGAATAAACTCAAACAAGCTGAAACAAGGCACCACCTGCTGCGGCATGTAAATCCATTCACCGTGTTTGTTGCAAAATAAAGAAAAAATCATACTCCTCTATCCTTAAATGTTTGTCGCCACGATTTACATTTCGATAACTTTGACTCGATTTATAGAAAATGCGTGCAACATTTCTATCTCCAAATAAATTTATTAAAAAAACTAGATTCAAATATCTATCAATGATACTAATTATGTATTATAAATATTAATAATTTTTTAATATATATGGAAGATGTCTATATTTGGATAACCATTTAGACAAGCTATTGGAGGTTAGTTTTTTACCAAAATCTCTATTCCTAGCATTTATGAATGATTTAGAGAGTCTCTTGGAGATGCTCTAATGCTAGCTAATTAATGTGAGAGTAATTATCATGTAGAAAGGAAGAGTCGGACATAGAAATAATCCATCTATGAGTGACACGTATTTTATTTTTCACGAATATGTCATCTTGGAATTACAATTTATTAATTGTATTGTATTAGATATATACACTCTTTTATTCAGTTTTAACCGTTAGTTCATCTTAAAATATACTCTCCCTGCTCTGTTATGTAAGGCGAATTCGCAGGAATCACCTAGTCCATCATAACTCAATGGTGTTTTCTTGACAACATAGCTCAATAATGGTGTTGAAAGAATTCCAATGAAACTGAGGGATGATTGAACATGCAATTAGAGGAAAATTAAACGGGATACAATAAAAAAAATCTTCTCAAGGACCAGCCTAAAGTATATTCACCTGATAGGTCCTTCAATTTCCTAAGTAGCTGTTGGAGGAGAAAGTGAGTGGGATGGCCAGATGACAAGGGTGTAGGCGCGGTGCATGAACTTAATGCTATTGAGGACTGCTGGGGTGGAGCAGGAAACACGAGGGCTTGCGCTGCTAGTCGAGCTATGGGACAACCTTGAAAGAATAAGGAGAGAGAGAGAGGCAACATATAGGCTTACATGCACTCAAGCCATTGTGGTGGGTTGTGGCATCCAAATGGCCTCACAAACCATAGGGATCATTTAAACATTATTAGATGCTTTATTTAAGGCCTATAATATTGGATTTTATAGTTAAGAGGGTTATGTACTCCAACACTGATATGCTAGGAGGTTATTTATATATTTTCATACTATTTATTGACTCAATGTTACATCAACACCAATGTAATATGCAACTCTAGTAAACACATTAGAGGGATATTTAGACAGTTTTCAATGAGCATGTTCGCTGGTTGGTTTCTGGGCTGATAAGCCCGGCTGGTGCTGGTTTACTGTGAGAGGAAAACACTGTTGGCTGACTGATAAGCCCTGACTGAAACCAAGAAGCGAACAGACTGAATAGTTTGAGGGATATAAAATACCTAATTTTAAAGGTGAGCGAGTTAAGTAACAATCGCTAACTAAGCTTAGGATCTTTTTAGTGGAACTTGCTCACCTGGGTTTAAATCATCGACTTAATACATGCGTTCATATTTTCTAAATTTATTTCTGATCTTTGACTTGATACATATGCTCATATTTTAAAAAAAAAAATATATTCTAGGTCCTCGAGTTGAGATCCCTATAGGACTTTCGGTCTATAAATATAGATATAGACATAACAATTAAAAGTCTAAACAAAGAATGAGTAACCTTGGACCAAGCACCAACCATGAACCATGCTCATAGTTCGGGTTTGTACTCCCAGACTCCGGCCAGCGCAGCTCTGCTAGGGTCGCGGTGGCCTGGTGCGGTGCTCGAACAGAAAATATAAATGTCAAACCACTGCGAAATGGGAGAAAGCCAAAAGCTCAACAGCCTGTTCGGCAGGCCGTAAACGATCGTGGATTATTTACTGCTGGTTAATTTAGTATGAGAGAAAAATACTATTTCAGTTTATAATCTACGATCGTATACGAGCAAGCGAAACGATGTGCGGCTATAGCCCGCGTGGACTGAATTAACGAGATATGTTGGATTTTTCTTCACTCGTTAAGTCGCTGGAAATATTGAAGGCCCGGGATGGGATCTTCACTGCTGAAGTTTGGGAGAAACTTTAATATTTAATTTGAGTTCACCCATCCCTCAACATTTGACATCCAATTTATAAATTTAACCATTTGCACACGACTTGTTTCGATATAGGAATTTATCAGATTTTCTCTCATTTTCTATTTCTAATGATCTCTTCTCACTTCTCCCGACACGGAAAAAGACCGAAATACCCCCCACTCGTTCCTATCCTCAAACCCGCTCGCATTTTTTTTTTGTTCTTCGTCGCGACCGCTAACGGGAGCCGCCCGACGCCAGCGGACGCCCCCGCCCCCGCCCCCGCCTGAGACCGCTAGTTGCCGGTGGCCGCCCGCCCTGGTCGCCGGATCGCCGCAGCCCGCCACCCGCCGCTGGTGGCAGCCGGGTTGCGGGTTCGCCCTTCCCGGCGGCCGCCCTTCCCGCCCCTGCTGGCCATCACCGGCGACACCACCTCCGGCCGCGGCCGACGGGACGCCTTGCCCGCCCTCTGCTGGCTGGGACTGCACCGTCGTGGAGTAGAGATCCAGGGGGACTTGGATTGGTTTCTCCATTCCTTGTACGTGTAAAAAAAAAAGCTTATCCTGCTCTGTTGCAGTTCATTCGTTCGTCCGTCAGATCTAGTAGTTTGCTTGTTTCCGTTCAGTTATTTCGAATTTGTTTGCTGTTATCTAATCCGACCCATAGATCCATTTGGCCCTTCTTCCTATTCCTAGCGCACAAGGCTATCTTATCCGAGCTGCTTGGGGTTGAGTGCGAGCTCCCGTTGACGCAGGAGATGGACAAGTTGCTGCAATTCGGGCGGAAGGCATGGTTCATCGTCCGGGTGATGTCTGGTCACGAGGAAAGGAGGATCCGGTCCTACAGGCTGCAGCTGCAGAAGCGCCTCGAGATGGCAAGTATTTTTTATTTTTTTGCCGCGAATTTCATGGATAATGTAGTAGTGCCTACTCCTTTAATTGTGGAACCAACATTTCCTGGTAAAAGTAACCATTTTTGCTTTCTAAGTGCATGATACCAAATCTTCTAGTTGTCCACATGTGCTCTTGTTTGGCGCTTCTGCAGCTGCAGCCTCTGCATTTCAAAATGATTGATCGATATCCCATCCATTTCAACTTCTATCTAGTTCTTACTATTGAGGATAACTGATTGTTACATCATTATCGATTTAGAAATGATTGTTATTGCCATATCTTCCCCTACATATTGGTTGATCATTAGTTGACAACATCAGTTACTCTTATGACTGAGTATTTCAGAATACTGTCAAATGTGGCTTCATTACGTGGTACAACCCAGCTAACTTCCAACGATTTTTTTTTTGTTAAATGATGTAATTTTATAGGAAACCATGTGGTTTCCTCTTTGATCTTGGTGTTACAACGGACTATCTTGCGGACTATTTAGTGGTTTAACTCGTTAATTGCCATTGTTGTCAGAAACATGTTGCAAGTGTTTTACCACCTGTCCACTTGGATTGTCTTGTAGTGAGGTTTAATGTATCACAGTTCTCAGATTATTCATGTTACTGTTTTGTACGTCAACATTTTAGCAACCTAAATATTGAGCCGACAAAGTTTTGAGTTTATTCATACCAATGATGTTTTGTACCATCACCTAGTGAAACATATATATGATACTATTGCTACAATGTTAGCAAGTAGTAGCACCTTTATGTCATGCAAATCAGTGGTCTGTTCCAAAAACTATTTCACTTACAGTGGAAGGAAAATGGTATTCTAGAGCTGTCCTGTGAGAGGTAATTAAGAAAATGGTGTAAGGCTGTCTGTTGAAGATACAAAAAAAGCTCTTCATCTTCTTAGTATCGTCTATATATACGATGGGGCAAAGTGCTGTGCTCACTTCTCCTTTTTTATATGCAGAAAATTTACAAATCCCTCAGCCCTCATGGTAAAAGTTTAATCTCTTTGTTTTTGCTATCATTCATTCAGGCACAAGCTAGAAAGGAGGAGCTGCGGAAACAGCCAGAACAAGTTATCTTATCGGAGGTTCGTCAAGTGGTTCAGCAGATGCAAGTTCTAAACCAGCACCTTGACGAAGCTGTAAGTTTAAGTCACAAAAATTTGATTCATTGCTTGCATGGGAAATGTACACAGAATTTTACAAGAAAACTATTAGTTTCTGAATAAATAAATTCATTTGTGCTGACATCAGTGAGAGACGATTGGGCAAATATTTTCTATCATACTGTTGGCACCCAGAAAACAATGCAGCTGTTCTTTTTTTAGAAAGGCGGCAAGAGCTTTGCCGAAATTATATTAGACGAGGGAAAATAAAAATAAGTACAGAAAGGGGAAACAAATGGCCTCTGTCCGGCAAACTACAACTGAGACCCACAGAGGCATCATTTCCCCTGAGAACGAAGCCGAAACAAACCACTGACAACGCCTGGACAAAGCACAGAACCAACTGAAACTACTAAAACCACTGAAAAAGAAAATACTGAAACACCCAGACCAAAGAAACTAAGCAACTAGCCATCCGTAACAATCGGTCTCGTTGCCAACTGAAATTGCCGAATATCATCTTTGCAGAGCATCGCGACTTGACTTGGCTGCATAGAGTTGTTTTGGAAAGTTCTTCTATTCCGCTCCTGCCAAATAGTTGCAGCTGTTCATGAGACGTTAGTTTATTATATTCCAAAGAGGCCAATAGACTGATTATTCAGTTCAGGTTTCTGGTGACACTAAGACTGATGCTTCCTGTCTTATTCACAATCATTTGCAATAACTTTCTAACTGTTATGGCAAGTAGAGCCGGCCCAGGGGCCCACGCGGTACTGTAGCGACGTGGTACTGTAGCACGTGAACAAATTAGATTAGATTGTTTGGTTTGTTAGGAAAGAGATATGTTAGATTGATTCGGTTAGGATATTTCCTTAGGGGTCAAGTCAGTCATCTCTATAAAAAGAGAACCATGTATCAGTTATAGTCAAGCAAGGAGCAACAATTAAGTTGCTGGCTTCCCTGGGAGCCAGCCGTTCCTGCCCTCTCTCCCTCGTGCGAACAGTACCCGCGGGTACTGTAGCTCCATCGCCGCCTCTCCCTCTCAATCCTCCAGCCACATAACACTAACTTTTTTTTATCATAATTTTCAGGAAGCTGCTATCGATGAATATTTTAAACCAATTGACAAGAATGCTAAAATCATAGCGGATCTGCAGTTGGAGAAAGAGGAAAAGCAAATGAAGGAGATGGCAAAAGTTATGCAGGAACAAATAAAAATGCAAAGAGAAATCACAATGAAAAGAGCTGAGGCTGCAAGCGTCGAGTCTAATGATACTGGAGTCGGTGAAAAAGTGGCTGAAATCCCTCCGAAATAAGAAACTGTAAAATAGATGCTAGGCATTGTTCCTCTTTTTTTTTTTGAGCGAAGTTATTGTGCGTGTGCATACTATTTGCATATGTGCTATGGGCTAGGTAATAAGTGTGTACTTACAATGAGACAGTCGCCAATTTTGTGCTTATCGAAGGCTATTGGGCTGCTGCTTTCCGTTTGTTGTTTTAGTATCCACATAAGCTTTGTTTTGCGCCATAATGTATTCTGTCCATTAACATGTAACCTTTACTACAGCAAGTATGTTGAGGTGCTGTGTCAGTTCATTTTTCCAAGGATCTGATGAATTTTGCAATTCGAGGTGTCCAGAGATTCAGATCTGTTGCTGGATGTGATGATTTTGCTTTACTCTTGGATAGGAAACCTGTTTCCTCTGGGTGGTAGATGGTTTATAAGGATTTAAGTACAAAATGTAACATCAATTGGTTCCATAGTGTAGTGGTTAGCACTCCAGACTTTGAATCTGGCGACCTGGGTTCGAATCCCGGTGGAACCTCTTTTCTTCGATTGTGTCTTTTTGGTTATATATATGATATGCCTAGTCTTCAGATTAAGCTCGCTAATGAGTGGTGATTGATCCCACTACTGGACCCTGGAGGCTGGAGCGTTCTGTTGTTGTTCCTTTGGTGTTTTTTCTTCCTCTTCTGTATGTAAAGGATCATAAAGGCGATGGACAACTGTGTAAATACGGAACGAAAAATATGAAAACGGGTTTTTCTTTTGGCAAGTGCTATGTGGACTCACAGGGAAAAGGCATTTGGGCAGAGGATTTGAGTGCATCCCAACTCAAGCAAGAACATGTGCTACGCGTGTGATGGCATTTGAGTGTTGCGGCACAAGCTAGCTCTTTTGTTAAAACATGTGCTACGTAACAATAATACAGAGCCTTATCAATCTCTTTTGCCAATTGGAACATATAGAGTGGATATACTAGAAACTGAAACATCTCGCCACCGATGCTCCCAAGAATAAATGACACACAGTACAAACTTGATCCATCATAGCTTAGTATTGTTCACAAATCACGGCAGCCAGCACCAGGTAAGCACACAACCAGCTGCCTATTGGTTCAGCAGAGACTGCACATACCAACATGAAACAAGCTCAGAGCAGCCACGGCCCACGACACTACGACAGGTGCACGCAGGCACACACAGACGCAGCTGCTGGTTATTCAAAAGCTACTCCGTCTCCGGCGGGGTAACAAGCACTCACCAAACCACACAAATCAACTCACATGCAGCAGGTGGGCATGCACACCCAGCTGCTGCATCATCAATCCAAACTCGCAAGCCACACACAGGGTCCACTCAAGCACACGCACCGGCCGGGCCTGAGCGCAACACGCGCGCAGGCACAAATCCAGGCCGGAATTTGATTGCAAAGCAGAGAGCAAGCAGCAGCAACAGATATAGGCCAGCTCGGCCATCAGCGCAGGCAGGAGCCATCCGGAGGCCCGTACCTCTTCACGAACAACGAACTCAACCAAAGGTAGCAGGAAGCAGCTGAAGGAGTATCCAAATCCAACAAACCAAATCAGCATCAGACACACGTACTACGGCCATGAACGAAACTGAGCATCCATCAGGGCAGGCGAGCCACTGATCTTGCACACCAGCAGTACGTAGATGCTCGACGACTCAGGCAGGATTCACCTAGGCAATGCAAGCAAGAGGCAGAGTTATACAAATGGCGAGTGAGTATGCAGACATCATACGTATAGCAGCAGAGTTAATTAATCAAATAAATAGCTGGATGGACTATTTCGTTCACCAATCATTACGCAGAGCACGCAAGGTTAGTTAAGAACGAACGTACCTAAGCACGCTGCCTCTCAGGACGCGGCTCCACCTGTAGTAGCGCGAGTGCACTGGAGGCTCGAAGAGGTCGGGGTGGTGGTCGGCGGTCAGACCGTCCCACTCAAGCGAGTCCCACACGTCCTTCTCCATCTCGACGATCGGCTTCTCCACGCCTGGCTTGCGCGCCGCCACAGTCGGAAGGCCGCGCAGGCCAAAGCAGCCCTGGATCTTGATGGTCTCGAGTGCGGGCGCGAGCATCTTGACCTCGGATATCTGCTTCAACTTCGGCAGATCGTGCAGGTGGATGGTGGTCAGCTTCGGGAACGGTAGACCATGGACACCTATCTCCTCTGGGTACTCTTCGTCCAGCACGAAGATGTGTGTGAGGTAGGCGCAGTGGATGATGTGCAGTGTCTTTAGGCTGGGGAAGGAGGGGATCCACACCGGTAGCACGAACTGGAGCCTTGGGCAGGAGCGCAGGTGCAGGTGTTGTAGACTTCTGAATGAATCTTCAGGTTGCCAGCGGGAACCTTTGTTCCAGATGCAACGTGCCATCAGGAGATGTGATGCCCAGAAGGTGTCTACCTTTGGAGAGAAGACCGTGTCAATGTTGGGGCATCTCTCCATGCGACACCACTTGAGGGGACGCAAGTAGCCTGCAGACATGCTACCGTTAGTCGAGGCATCGTGCACATGCAGGGACTCAGCATGCCCACCTATCATCTCAGCTAAACTAGCATCATTTTCCAGTTCACCCTCCAAGCCACAACTCCCTTCACTAATCTCAATATGATGATCCAATGGATGAGTCGGAGGTTGTGGGAAGAACAACATCGGGGCATCACCAATCTTGTAAAATGTGTCACCATGATTACTTCAACATGATGTTGTTGGCTACTGGGTTCAATCATCTCCTCGCGGGTTGTTTCAAGTTGACTACCGCCCCCACCATACGCAGTTGAAGAGGTGAAATGGATATTAAAATAAATATCGTTATAATCTACTTCCCTTGCCAAGTTAGACACCAGATTACGCAAGGACCTCGCGAGACGCGAGTAGCATGCAATTGCAAATCGAAAGACTCATCATGCACGGCAAGACATGGCGGAGTAGATCTATGTGCTCTTTGTTAGCTAATCTACTGCCATCTTGTGAGAACACAGCAGAAGAAGGCGGCGCCGACTTAACTGTCTGCTGTGTGTGAACACAGCAAGGGAAGGCGGCGCCGACTTTGCCCCCTGCTGTGATCTGATGGCAGCCTGTAGGTGCAGGCGCGCAGACGGCTCACCTACAAAGATCAGAGAGGAACAGGCGGTGGCCGTGCAGAGTCGTCACCTCGTCAGGTTATCTAGTTACTGTGCCAGTATGGGCGCTACACATGGACTAGATAGTTAGAGTTGTATAAATAGACATGTATGACAACTCAGTAAAGAGAGCTCAGATTTGCCATCACACATACGCTTGCTCGCCAATTTGTTGCCTTATATTGTGCGTGCTTGCTCTGTTCTCCCTTCCTCTTCTAGCTCGATCCGTAGTGTGTGGGTACGGACAACGCCGACACGTGGTCTGCGCACGGTTAGTGGGTGCTCGGCAACACTAGCGTGTGCTCGGCGAGACCGACAAGTGCTCCACTACTTTGAGCGGTGGTCGGCAAGATCGGGTGGAGTGGTTCATCGTCGTGAGCCGGTGATCCTGTGAGATCAACGGAGTGGTGCGGAGATCATCTCGGTGGTCGGGAGGCTAACTGTGGGCCAACAAGTGGTATCGGCCCATTACAAGCGCCGTCGTCATTCTAACCGATGGCGGCGATGGCAAAGCGGTTCGGAGTTGGGCGACGGCGTAGGCTAATCGCTCGTGGCTGCCTGTACCACTACCGAGAGGTAGTTGTTCATGACGGTGCGGGAGGTCGGTGGCACCACTTGGCCGACATCGACTCGCACTAACTATGGAGAGTGGTCGGTGACCATGAAGGTCAAGCTTCGAGCCCGTCGGCTCTGGAATGTTTGTTGACAAGGGCACCGAAGCGTGGAAGAAGACGACATGTCGGTGATGGAGGCTATACTCGCCGCTGCTGTACCGCAGAGTATAGGGAACCGTTGGGGACGAAGAGCTCAGCGGCTAAGGAGGCGTGGGAGGCCATTGCGGCGATGCGCGTCGGTTCCGACCGCGCAAAGAAGGCAACGGCCCAGCTTCTGAAGCAGGAGTACGCAAACCTCAAGTTCAAGGATGGTGAAACGGTGGAGGACTTCTTCCTCCGCTGCAGGCAGACTCATCGCAAAAAGTGAAGAGCCACGGGCGTCACCATCGACTAAAGAGGAGGCGGTCTCAAGTTCCTCCACTCCCGTCGGCAAAAGTACATCCAGATCGCTCTATCCATAGAGACGATCTTTGGACTTGTCCACCCTCACCATCGAGGATGTGGCAGGCCATCTACGGGCGGTGGACGCGCTACCGAGCGGCGACAAAGAACGGCGACGCGGAAACTCCCTGCCGACGGAAGAGGAGTGGGCTGCTCGGTGAAACTCCGGAAGGCGGCCTCCTCTAGTCGCGGTGGCAGCGGCAAACATCGCGGCGGCGAGGCTTCTTCGGTGAAGAAGCAAATCGACTCAACGCGCTGCCGGTGTTGCGGGAAGATGGGCCATTGGGCGCGGAGTGCCCAAATCGCAAGAAGGAAAAGAAGGCTCAGGCTCACCTGACGAAAGCCGATGATGAGGATGAGGCTACTATCCTTATGGCGACGTTACGTAATCGCACGCACGCCGAGGCCATGAGAGGGAAGAGGCGACGACGGTGGAAGGATCTAGCAAGGCCCTGAAGACCGTCAACCTCGACGAACCACGCGCCCAAGTCCATCTTGGGCATGTGGGCGTCGACCAGGAGCAGCGGTGGTATCTGGACTCTGGTGCCAGTAACCACATGACGGGCTCCAAGGACTCCTTCTCCGAGCTCGACGGCGATGTTAGCAGTACGGTGAAGTTTGGTGACGGCTCAAGGGTGGCTATCCAAGGGCGTGGCACCATCATCTTCAGATGCCAGAATGGGGAGCACCGCGCACTAACGGATGTATACTACATCCCGCAGCTGCATTCCAGCATCATCAGCATTGGTCAGCTGGATGAGCGCGGTAGCGAGGTTCTGATCAAGGACGGTGTTCTGAGGATCAGAGACCGGGAGCAGCAACTTCTCGCCAAGGTGAAGAGGTCCCTAAACCGGTTGTACCTGCTCGACCTGAAGGTAGAGCAGCCGGTTTGCCTGGCGGCAAGGCACTCCGAGGAACCGTGGATGTGGCATGCCCGGTTCGGACATCTCAGCTTTGACGCGCTTGGTCGGCTGGGGAAGATGGTCCGAGGGCTACCCTACATCAAACACAGAGGCGAGCTGTGTGACAGTTGCCTGGCCGGGAAGCAGAGGAGGCTACCTTTCCCAAAGGCGGCCAAGTATCGCGCGAAGGAAGCTCTCGAGCTAGTTCACGACGACCTCTGCGGGCCGATCACGCCTGCTACATGCGGTGGTTGGCGGTACTTCCTCCTACTCGTGGACGATTGCAGTCGCTACATATGGCTGCAACTCCTGACGAGCAAGGACAAAGCGGCGGTGGCGATCAAGAAGTTCAAGACGCGCGCGGAGGCCGAGAGCGGCAAGAAGCTCCTCGTACTGAGGACTGATCGGGGTGGCGAATTCACTTCGGTGGAGTTTGCTACGCATCGCACGGATCAAGGTGTGGGCAACATCACACCGCTACCGTACTCGCCACAACAGAATGGCGTGGTGGAGCGACGGAACCAGACAGTGGTCGGCATGGCCCGATCCATGATGAAGGCCAAAGGGATGCCGGCAAAGTTCTGGGGAGAGGTGGTGACCACGGCGGTGTTCATCCTCAACCGCGCTCCAACCAAAGCCCTAACAGGCAAGACGCCGTTCGAAGCTTGGTACGGGAGCAAGCCAAACGTGTCATTCCTCCGGACATTCGGTTGCATCAGCCACGTCAGGAAGACGAAGCCAAACCTCACCAAGCTGGAGGACAGGAGCACACCCATGGTGTTCCTGGGCTACGCGGAGGGTACCAAGGTGTACCGGCTCTATGACCCACACGGAGACAAGGTGACTGTCTCGCGTGACGTTGTGTTCAACGAGGAGGCAGCTTGGGACTGGCACAGTCCGAGCACGGGGGAAGCGGGAGGCTTCACTAACACCTTCGTCGTCGAGCACTTGGTCATCCATGGTGGTGGAGACGCTGCGGAACAGGTGCCACGCACTCCGGGAGGAGCGTCAAGCACTCCGACGGTAGAGTCGAGCACTTCTAGGGCAGTGCCGAGCACTTCAGGAGGGATGCCGAGCACTCCGAGAGGAGTGTCGAGCACTTCTGGAGGAATTCCGAGCACGCCAGGAGTGGAGCCAGGCGGTTCTACAGTGGTGGCGACCACTTCAGGACGGGTACCGAGCACTCCCGTGGCGGAGCCAAGACGTCTTACTGTGGTTCCGACCACTCCAAGACTGAGGCTGGGCACTTCTACAGTGTGGCCGAACACTGCAGGAGTTATGACGAGCAGTCCAGAAGCAGTGCCGAGCACTTCAGGTGCTATGCAGGGCACTCCGGCGGAAGAAGGAACTCCATCACCCCTGATCGAGTTCGCCTCACCTCCAAGTGACATCACTGAGTTCATGGACGCCTACCATGAAGGTGAGGAGTTGAGGTTCCGCAGGCTGGACGACATCGTCGGCGGCATAGGTCCCTTAGGTATGGCGGGTAGGCTGCTCAACGACGCAGAGCTGCTACTCGTCAGTGCAGAGGAACCACCCATGTTCGCGCTAGCCGAGCGCGATGGAAACTGGCGATGGGCAATGCTGGAGGAGATGAAGGCGATCGAGGAAAACGAGACTTGGTAGCTCGTCGATCCACCCCCCGGATGCCGTCCGATCAGTCTGAAGTGGGTGTACAAAGTCAAAAGGGACGAGCTCGGCGCCATTGTCAAGTACAAGGCGCGCCTCGTCGCCCGAGGCTTTGTCCAGCGCGAGGGCATCGACTTCGAGGAGGTCTTTGCACTAGTAGCGCGCATGGAGTCGGTCCATTTGCTACTTGCTTTGGCGGCAGCAAAGGACTGGCGCGTCCATCACATGAACGTTAAATCGGCCTTCCTCAACGGCGAGCTGGCGGAAACGGTCTTCGTCAGGCAACCTCTAGGGTTCGCTGTCAAGGGAGAGGAGCACAGGGTGCTCCGACTGCGCAAAGCGCTCTACGGGCTGAGGCAAGCCCCTCGAGCATGGAACGCCAAGCTTGACACCACGTTGGGTGAGCTTGGGTTTCAGAGGTGCGCAACCGAGCATGCGCTCTACACGCGACAACGGGGGAAGGAAGAACTCGTGGTCGGCGTGTATGTGGATGACTTAATCATCATCGGCGCGCGCACGGAGAATATCAACAGCTTCAAGCGAGAGATGGCAGCTCGTTTCCGAATGAGCGATCTCGGCGCTCTCTCCTACTACTTCGGCATCAAGGTGAGACAGGGGAAGGAGGAACTCATGCTCGGGCAAAGCGCGTATGCCTCCAAGCTGTTGGAGAGGAGCGGCATGGTGGAGTGCAAGCCATGCGTGACTCCGATGGAGGAGCGGCTGAAGCTGACGAAGGATAGCACCACGGTGAAAGTAGATGCAACACTCTACCGAAGCATCATCGGCGGTCTGCGCTACCTAGTCCACACAAGGCCAGACATTGCGTTCGCCGTGGGCTACGTCAGTCGCTTCATGGAGGATCCTAGAGAGGATCACTGGGCTGCGGTAAAGCGGCTACTACGCTACGCCAAGGGGACGGTGAATCATGGAATCATCTTCCCAAA